CATAGCGCATAAGGTGGAACTAAGAGCACATGACTGACAAAGGATGCCAGTCCTGTCACACAAAAAAGGGAAAATTTAGAATATCTAAATCTACAGGTTTATGAGAAATCAGGGCGCATGGTAGAAATCCTCATAAAAACCATGAAGAATATATAAAGCTCCAGACTGCCAGGAGCTAACAGACATAAATGAACTGTGGACACTGGAGCTGTGAGGCACAAGTGACAACCAACACAGTACATTGACACACAGCATTGTAAGACTGTAATAAAACTTCATCTTCTAACAATTACTCAATAAATAAAACATTTTGAGATATGCTAATTACATTTTATCAACACTGCATTTCTTAGTGAAAAATAAGAACTCTTGCTTTCTATTGCAAACCATGTTTTGTGACATTATGAGGGAATTGCAAGTCACTGTAGCACAATACTTCTAGCTACTAACATCCTATTAGATACTGTAACGCTACAGGGTTCACGTGGGCGCCCTCGCCGCTGCCGCATCAGGTTGGCCCCCCACCGTCGGGGACTCAAACCCGGGTCTCCAGCATCACTCAACAAGGACCCAGCCTCTTGAGCTAAAGGGAAATCTCCCTTCAGCCCAGCGGCTGCGGTCCCTGCTATTCACAGGGAAGGGCGGTGACATCACTGCTCTGGTAAGCCAGCTCTCGCAAGCAATGGAGGCCGTATGAGTTACAATATGTTACTTACGTTAATATAAAAGGCAAGTTTTTTAACATCGAGGAGCCAGCCACACAGAAAGATGCACATAATGGACCTTTCTTATAGGCCTTCAGGTTGCACAAGGAGAAGATTGGAAACAGATAAACATTTCCTTTACTGCAGCAGGAGCTGAAGACAAATCGTTGTCAGGTTAGGTTTTGTAAGTGTTTGATCTTTGAGACGCCAGGTCTACTTTACTCACCCTTTCTGACAGTCCCTGATCCTGGCTGACAATACATTAAGGCCAGAGGCCAGAGAATCAGTCCAATCTCTTTGATCTGAAACAGGTCTAAGGACCTTGGCTGCAACAATGCAGCTTTTCAGATGAGCTTTACTTTTCCCTTCAGGCTTAAGAACCAGAGAAACAGAATACAGAAACATCCATCCATTTTCTGACCACTTTATTCAATACAGGGTCATGGGTGAGCCGGAGCCTATCCTGGCAAGCAACTATCACAGGACATACAAACACACACTCACAGCAATGCCAATTTCCCAGAAGCCAGTTAAGCTACCAGTATGTCTTTGGGCTATGGGAGAAAAACGTAGCACCCATAGGAAAGCAATGCAAACATGGGGAGAACATACAAACTCTAGAGCCTTAGTGCTGCTGGACAGCAATGCTAAGCACTGCGCCACTGTGCCACCCAATACTGAAACTGTATTTTTCTCCTTTTCGTACTCAAAGAACATAAAATATTCACTTATATAGTACTTTTTACCCAAAAGCTTTTTAAATATAGAAGGGGACCAACCTCATCACCAGTGAAGTACAGCTCCTACCTGGGTGATGTGTGAGAGCCATTAAGCACCACTACACAGCAGATCAGGTAGAGAAGCAGTGAATGTCTTAGAAGGCTATAGTGGAATTTAACCTAGACATTGGGTTAACAGGATCTTTCTTAAAGTAGTCAGGATTGCATCTGAGGGATGGTGCCGCCTACAGTACAGTCCTGACACCATATAGGGGCATGTTTTAAACATCTGGCCCAATGGGAAGAGTGCCACCTACTAGTCTACCAGTACCACTTACAACAGCAAGTAATTTTTCTCTGGGGGACTCCAAACCCAATATTGACAAGGCCCAGTCTTCCTTAGCCGGTGAGATCTGATGAGATCTGAGATCAGGCTCAAAGGTGGTAAAGTTGCTAAGAAAAAATGTGCCCGTGCTAATTTTAAGCATCACATTAAGTACTCCAAAGTTGCCATTGTGCAGCAATTGAGGGTTCACCCATGTGTATGACTGTACATCAGGTATATATGGGAGGTCAGCAAGAAAACCCATTACTAGTGTAAAAATAGCTGCAGTCTGGCCTTTAAAATCTATAACTCATTTGTGATAAAATGCAGTCTTCTGCAGTCTGCAGAAGTGCACAGTATGAGTCAGACAAACTCAATTAAATGAAATTCACAGAAGAAAGCAAACTATACAAATTCTAAAGTACTGGGATTTCAATTGAGCAGGATTCTTGCTTGTTTTTATTATAAACACTGCATGAGTTGTAAGTTTTCATACCAATTATATTTTACCAGTTTTATTGCTTAGAACACTGGCGATATAACAAATCTCATGCAGTACCTTTACCGATAGTTAACAGTTTTAATAAAGAGCTTGTTAAGATAAAATAAAGGAAAAAAAGAAGGATGTGTCTTCAAAAGTTGAAGAGCATTAGTCAATACATAAAAGTTTTTTTTTTTCTCGCTGTCCAAACAGGGCACAAAACATTCAGAGAGTTTTGTGTATTCATACAGTCCACAAATCCTTTAAATGTACATTTCTCAGTCTTAAAACGTGTACAGAATACTTGCATTTGCCCCTTTTCTGTTGTTTGTATAACTTTCTAGTAGGCTAAGGAATGAACCTGGTGGAAAGTTCTTGTTGTGCTTCTATAGCGTCTTATGTTAGATTGCTGAACTCTGAAAATTGTATATTTTTTATTACATGAGGGGTCGTAACTGGTACCATGCTTTGTGTGTTTTATGAGATGGTGGCACGATTGTGAGTCTAGCTAGAAGAAGGTAAAGAAGGGAGGAGAAAGAAGTACAGAGACAGAGAAAGCAGAGAAAGCATTTCAGCAGAAAGCAGAGAAAGCATTTCTTATACAGTAGGTGATATACCTTTATCCTTATTCTCTACAAAGAAAATAATTGAACACATGGAGTTAGGGGTTTTTTTAAGACACAACTCTCATTTACTGTACGTTTACAGCAATATTGATGAAGGGAAGCAATACAACAATACCAGAAGGGTTCATAATCAGGATTAAATCAGGATGGGGATTAATTGTACTATCGATTGATATAACATAACAAAATAACTGCTTTAAAGTCATACTAAGAACTGGCAAAATATTTAACAACTTTTTAAAATGTACTGTAGATGTTATTCTAAAATAAAATAAATACCGACATGCTGCAGAAGGTACACTTCTGGTACACTTCTGGATGTACGTCAGTGTCTTTCTTCAGTAGAATTTATAGTTGGCCGTGTAAGGCAATTTATTGTTTAATTATTATTTTCTGTCTGAGAGTCCAGTGAGATGTTATTAGATGTAGTCATCCAGTTTCAGACACCTTTAGGGATTGTCATGGCAACCAGGATAAGAGAAAGCATCAATTGAATTTTCTCTAGACAAATTATCGTTGTGGAAATTGCAGGGTTACTGTAAGTCATGTGACTTCTACATATAATATCCTTTTCAGATGGTTTTGCTCAGTTATGAGTTAAAAGGTATTGTAAGGCGCCAGAATTTCTAATATTTATTATCAACAGTGTTTAAAGTAATGAGTAGAAATGATTCAGTGGTATATTGCTGGAGGCTGATTAGAGATGGGTAGAATACTACAAAGTAAAAAAAAAACTATTGCTTTCATTAGCTCATTCATTACATATCAGAAAAGGCTTTGCTGTTGATTGCATGCTGTGATTTCATTCATTTTACAAACTTAAAACATTTATTTTCTTATAGAATGATAAGATATCTTTTCCCATTACCTTAGAAGTCTTTCTCATTTCTAAATGAAATGGATAGAAACTATCATGCAGTGACAATTCAGTTGAATTTATATAAAGAAGCATATAAAGAAAAAAATGTATTTTTAACTGCAACAAAGTCTTATTACTGGATATAGAAAGTGTTACACAATAAGGGAATCTTGCTCTCTCTTTGTCTTAAAACCTGGCAACCTTAAAAGCTAATCAATCAAGGAAACAAACTTAAGTTCAAGAATCACCAGGCATCTGCAGGAGAACAATTAATTCATATTAAGAACTGAAGTCTGCCCAATACTCTCTCTGAAACAATAGTCATATGACAAGTTACCCAATTGTAATGTCACCTGATCAATGAAATTAATACAGTTAGACTTCTGTCATTAAGCCTGAATATAAATGTAAATTCAGTAGCAGCAGCTACAACCAGATTAAGTGAACTGTCTGAATTTCAATCACCTCAGTCTCACACGCAGATAGAACCCGAATAAGACCTTCTAAAAAAACTGGTGGAAAGCCACCAAAGATCAAACATACAGTAAGTAAACTTTTTTGCACTGTTGATGAGCTGTCTTAAGTATAAGGCTCGGTGGAGCAAATCCATTTCAACCCTACTATTACTACTATTTTTTTAATTCCTGAGTGAATGATCAGCCAGTTGTATCACAACAGAAGCATTTATGTGCACTTTTACTCTAGGAGGTTTGTTATACATGTTTTGTTGTTGCATTAAAAACACAGCATATTGTACAGTATACTTGGAATTCATGTGCATAAACTGCACATGTACATTAAATTCAGCAGGAGGACAGACAAGCAACAACATGAGGAAGGAAAGCAAGTGAGTTCCCATTACAGTACACTGGATAAAATATATTTTTTTAAATACATATTGATTATTTTAACATATTTGAAGATATTTAGCAAATTGGGTTTCAAGGTCCTTCTATATACAGTATATGCAAGAACTTTATGAAAAGTCAGTTCCTACTGCTAGCTATACCCTTACGTGTCTTTAGTTCTTTAAATAGTCATTTACTTGCACCTGAAAGAGTTAAACAGGATTAAGACCTTTCTTCATGAAATATCTCTATTATTTTATACTTTCTTTGCTATAAGAGGAATAAATGTCATCACAACCTCCTATTCAGAACGTGCTTTTTTTAAAGCAAATGGTTAAGAGATTTTGAATAATCCCATGTGCCAAAATCCAAAGCCAGAAACGCTGATTAAAAAAAACAGGGAAGTGATACAGTAGCTCAATTTAAGTGATAACTCACCCTTTTCGAAATCAGGGGTGCTGTCTTTTATGAGATGGCTTAGTTGGAAGCCATTGAGGTGAAGGAATCTGAGTTGCTCTCTCAGGGTGTTCTCTTCAAACACAGGGAGAATCAGATGCCCCACGTTGTTCTGTGAGATGGGAAGGCCGAGGCCCAGTGCCAGTGTGGGGGTAAAGTCCACTTGCTCCACAGGCTCAGGGGTTTCAAAGCCAACTGCGAGAAAATAATTGAGATTAAACTGGGGAAAGAAAGGGGTATAAATAAATAAAAAGTTGGCAAACAGCTGGTAATTTCAGGTTTTCCCAGGATCCTTTTTCCAGAAAAGCACATTTTGTTGATTTCCACTGTGGACGGCTACCAGCAGCAGATCCAGCTGACAGAAACAGCAACTGATCCACGATGGGACACTGAGCTCAATTTAACCAGATGTATGATTTTTAAACCACCTGAATAAAAATAATTTAACTTGCAGCTTTCAATTTAAAAAAAAAGCTACTCAAGTTGATGCAAAGGAAGAGCTAAAGTTGAAGTCCATGCTAAAAAGAAAAAAAAACATTAAAGTTCTTCTAACCTACTACATTTGATGTAAGCCATTTTTATTTCTTCATGCAGAATCCAGATAAAACCTGAATAAAACCTTTAACTTTATCTACTGTATATAACATCCAAATGATGCTAGAGCAGAATTGGTAAGGACTTTTTAAGGAAATTAAAATATTTAGCTTTTTGTAACTTAATACTCAGTGAAATACTGTTTTAACCTGAATGAGATGAGCTGGTAGGATGAACTCCCATTCATTTTTATTTGTATATGAATGTAGAAGAGGATAGCACTGGATGAGCAGGTGGGGATATACTCCAGCACTCTGGTTCAGAAGCAACTAAAAGGCCAACAAATGCAGGAAGGGTGAGTAAGATCTTATTCACAAGAAAGCGAGAGACATGTTACCAGAAATAATCAGAAGGCAGGACCTTAGCAGAGTGAAAGACAGTATAGCGGGTGCACCACTTTAGCAGGTTAATATCCTGAAGTCAATTGCACAGTGAGATAATTGGTTGTAACACTTCTTGGGATTGTAAAAACCACACAAGAAGATACAGAACAAGGCTAGGACTGTTAACTCCATTCAGACAGAGGAGGTTTAAAGAGGCAGATAACTGAAACGCCGAGGTACAAACAAGCACTGCAGGACTATAATGAATACATACTTATTTTTTTAGAAAAGCAGTGAGATAAAATTAGTGATCTTCTGATATTCTTATAGTTTTTGTATTTCTCTAAATTAAAAACACATCCACAAAATGCCTATTAGATAAATATACAAAATGGAAAAATACCAAAACAAAACAATTTAAGACTCCAAAGATCTTTGTAATGTCATATCAGATACTTCCAATACGAACAAGGCCTCCTGTTTTAAGTTTCTCAAATAGGTCATATAAATTCATAGACAAAAGAAAAAATAATACAAATACAATTAATTACTACTGCCCTAAGTACTAAACACAAAACTGGTAACAAAATAAACTCTACCTA